CAATATTGGGATCCTGAGGCAAGAGGATTATTGTGAGTTAGAGGCCAGCCTGAGCTTCATGAGCTCAAGGCCAACCTGAACTACATAGGGAGAGATCCTGTCTCAAAATCACACACACACACACACCTTTTCTTTTTTCTTCCATTATGCTGCTTTCATTTTAATTTTATTACCTTTTCTTCTAAGTAGTTGCAATTCTGTTTTTTTTTTTTTTTTTTTTTTTTTGGTACTAGAAATTGAACTCGGGACCTTGCGCATGCCAGACAGGTGCTTGTGCCACTGAGCTACATCCCTGGCCCCTAGTTGCTAATCTTGATATTCTAGATTGACTGACATGCATTCCTTGTGTCTAGGCTTCTTTAAAGTGACTCTCTTTTTCTGTCTCTCTGTGTGTATCTGTCTCTCTCTCTCTCTCCTTTTTTTTTTTTTTTTAAATTTAGTACAGGGTCTACAGGGTCTCATTACACAGATTGGACTCGTAGTGATTCTCCTGTTTCCAGCCTCCCAAGTGCTGGGATTACAGACATGTACCACCACACCTAGTCTCTATGTCGTTTTTTGATACAGGGTCTCACTATGTAGTTTAGGCTGGCCTTGAACTCACTGTATAGCGTAGGCTGGACTGAGGATATAGCTCAGTGGCATAAGCATCTGCCTGTAAAGTGAAAGATCCTGAGTTCTATCCCTGCACCCACAAAAAAAAAAAAAAAATCAACCAATCTCCCAGGCTTTTAACAAGCTGGGCAGTGGCCGTACTCCTGCCTCAGCCTCCTAAGTGTTGGAATTACAAGTGTGTGCTACTATACCAGCACCCCCAACCCCAATTGGGAATTGAACACAGGATCTTGTGCATATTAGGCACGTGATCTGCCACTGAGCTAAGATCGCTAGCCCTTAACTTTTTAGACAGCTTTTTTCTTTTCTTTTCTTTCTTTTTTTTTTTTTTTTTTTTTTATAAAATGTATTTGGTACAAGTTCTCACTAACAGATCAGCCTCATAGTGATCCTCCTGTTTTCAACCTTCCCAGCACTGGGATTAGAGGAGTGTGTCGCCATTCCCAGTCTTGGTGGCCAGCGTGCCCAGGGGCGGGGCCAACACATCCTGTAGAGCAGGGAATCAGGGAATCAGGGAATCAGACCCCGGTCCCTGTGCTTGCCTAAGCAGGTGCTTAGTCTGCTGAGCTATCTTGCCAGTGCCTTTAGGGTTTTGCTGAGTTGTACAGTCTGACCTCAAAGTTGTGATCCTCTTGCTTCATTGCCTGAAGAGTTTGATACTCCTTTTTTCCCATTCCTTCAACAAAAAAAAAAAAAAAAAAAAAAAATCAGTATATTGTAAGTAGTTCTCAGTTACCTGCAGTTTCACTTTTTATGGTTTTGATTACTTGTGGTCAACCATAGTCTAAAAACATTAGATGGGAAATCCAATAGTGAACAATTGATGTTTTGAGTTGCCCTGCATCCTGAGTAGCATGATGAAATTTTGGTACTGTTCTCCATCCCATCTAGGATGAGAGTTTTGTATGCTGTAGTCCAATTTAGTCACTTATTACCCATGTTGGTTATTAGATCAACTGTCACAATGCTTGTGTTCAATTATATTTACAGATGACCCCAAAATATATGAGAAATAATGCTAGCAATTTGAGTATGCTAAAGAGAAGGTATAAAGTGCTTCTTTCAGGTGAAAAGGCAACAGTTCTTTTTTGAGGGGGGTACTGGTAATTGAACTCAAGACTTGTACTTGCCAGGCAGGTGTTTGTGCCACTGAGCTATATCACTAGCACAAGGCAAAAGTTCTTAAGGAAAGAAAAAAATCTTAAAGTAAGGTTGCAAAGATTTACAGTACAAATAAATCTCTGTAAGAAGGAAAAATTCATACTGTTTGTTCTTATACCTCAAAATGCAAAAGTGATAGCCACAGTGTGTACTAAGTGCTTAATTAGAATAGAGAAGCCATTCAGTTATAAGATTTTTGTGTTGTTCATGGCTTAGTGTATCCATGGGGCTCATTATTAATGGGGGTGTTGGACTACAGAGTACTATTATCTCATAATGAAAGTAAATACCAGTCATCTTCCCCTCACTAAATTGTCCAGGCTGGGCTCCAACTTGAGATCCTCCTGCATCAGCTTCCCAGAGTGCTGAGATTACTGGCACGTATTATCACATTCAGTTGAAAAAGACAGGTTTTATTGTTATTGTGTTTTAGAGTGTTGGAGTCTCCTATAGGTGGTGTCTGTTGCACAATTCGGCAGCACTTACACAAAAATTGGAGGTGGTTTTTTAGATTCTGTTGTCCTGAGCAAATGGTAGTAAAATTTTATTACAGACAAGGGGGTAAAAAAAAAGAAAACAGGCCCTTACAAGTAGGGAAAGGACTACACCCTAGGGCTTGAGGGTGGGACACCATGTAAGAGAGATCACAGTGGCAAAAATGTAGTATGGACTATCCTTTCTGTATCACCCCACCTCAGGTTGACACCAGTTCACGGCCATCTGATTTCTTAGAGATGTCCATGTGCAGGGCTTTGGGAAACTGTTCTGCATGTGTCTGATTTTGTAATTAGTCAGCATACTTAACCAGCCAGTTTTGCCATGCCCTAATCTCCTGTCCTGTGAAATACAAAAGTTTAATACTGGGCAGTTTAGGATTCTGAAGACAAAGAATGTAGCCAGCTGGGCATTGTGGTATATGTCTGTAATCCTAGCACTTATGGAGTCTGAGGCACGCAAATCCTAAATTTGAACCCAGCCTGGAAAGCAGCGATTTAATGAGACCCTGTCTCAAAAGAGAAAAGGCAAAGAAAAGAAAGGAAAAAAAATTAAAAATTGGATGAGGACATAGCTCAATGCCCTCTGGCTTTAATCACCTGCACTGCGCCCCCCCCCCCCGTATGTAATACATTAGTAATTTGTTTCAAAGGTATAAATGGCAACATAAACATTCATTACTGTAACTTCTTAGATCAAGAACTGGTTGAGGAACTTTCTGAAATCAGACAAACATAAGAAAAAGCAAACATGTTCAAAATTCTTTCCCCTGTATTTCATGCAGTGGTGTTTGGAGTTACCATAAATCGGTCTCATATCTTGATAATCACTACATTGATCACTGTGTGCTCACATTTACATTGCACTTAAGTTGTACACTTAAATCCTATTACTTGTACAATGTATTAATTATTGTAACTGTCCTACTAACCTGTTTTGAAACTGTCTCATTGCTATTTGTTTCTCAATAAAATTAATTAAAAATCATATTACTTGGAGAGATGAAATAATGGATAGCTCATTGTGAACTACTGGTTAACATTATCAACTGTATTTGTCACTGTTTCATTGGTATAATGAACTACCTGCTATAGACTACTAAAATAAAAAAGATTTACGCAGAAAAAACAAAGCCCAAGCTCTAGCAAGAGTCTCGTGGCAAATAGTGAAGCACATGTAGAAGAAAGGATCAAGTCTCCCAGGAAGCTAGAGACATTGGGGGTTCCCATCATGTCTTTGAGAGCATTCCCTCAATGACTGTTGAGGAACTTTTAAAGAGCCATATTGTCTCACACTGCCAACTTGGGGACCAAGCTTTCAATATATGGGAGAGAGGGACATTTAAACTGTATCCAAACCGTAGCACCAATATTATGTAAAAATTAATGGCAGCAGTTACAGAAAGGGATATATAATGTGTAAAGGATCATTTGACATGTAAAATAGTGCTGCTTTAAGCCCTTATTTATTTGGTTCTCTTAGGTACTAGGACGTTTTACCTCAGTTGGCAGTCGTTAGGACCTGTGCTTTCCTGTGACTGTGGAACCTTTCACTCCTGAACTTGAAGCAGTCTCAGGCAAACTGTAACGTTTGAATACTACCAGTAACTGCCTTGAAGCTGTCTGGAATTTACGGAGTAAGGCCAGAGCTGTATTTCTTATCTTGCCTTTGGAGGCTGTTTTCTTTTTATGTAGACATGTTGTTTCAAGTGTATTTCCTGCATAGTTTTAAACATTTTGAATATATCATTTCCCCCATCTTCAAAGTTAGTGATTTCTTTTTGTCAAAATAATTACTCCATTACTATCAAAATTATTTTCATTTTGTAACAGTAACTGTTGAATCTGACAGTCTTCATTAGCATTTTCTTCAACAAGTTTGAATGTCAGTTCCTCAATCTCCTTTGTCTGCACTATTTACAGTTTTCATTTGTTTCTTGAGTAATTTGGGTTGGTTGGTAGTTTTGGGGGTTTTTGAGGGCCCAGCTACATAGTCCAGGTTGGCCTTGAATTGCTGGTGTACCTCAATTTGGGTCTCAAACTCACCATCCTTCTGCCTCTGCCTCTGCCCCCTCAGTACTGGGGTTACAGGCGTGCACCTCCTCTCAAATATTTCTTTTGAGTTTATTACGCATTTTTTTTAAATTTTCCTGGTTGAATTCTGTACTTGTGCCTTGAGACTTGAAAATGTTTCTCAAATGTCATTAGTCTTCATTGTATACTGAATTCTTCTGACATTGATGATGGTCCTCTCACTTTCTTGAAGCAGAAAGAATGTTCAGAACTACTTGTCCCTTGCAGTGTTTTTTGTTTGTTTGATTATTTATTTTGAGGCCCAGTATCACTATGTAATTCTGATCTTGAACTCACTATACAGTCCTGACTGGTCTCAAACTCCTGGTAGTCCTCTTGCTTCAGCCCTTAGAGTGCTGGGATTATAGAGGTATGTGCCACTACACCCAGCTTCATGCGGTCATTTCTAAGTTGTTCAGTCTCTGGCTTTGGAACTTTGTGTATATCAGTTGAGATAATTGTCTTGCTGTCAGCTATACTACCTGAGAATTAAGATACCATGTCTTGATGTTTCTGATCTGCAGACAGTAAGGAAGCTTACAGCAAAGCCCACAGTGCTGAACTGTCGCCTGACTGATGGAATTGGGCTCAGCTGATGCTAGCCTCCTCATGTGGTTTCTGTCCATAACAGTGTATTCACGTTTGTCAACAGGACAACTTGGAGAGTCTGCGCTTTTGAGGACTCTTGATGGTTCTCCAGAAAACCTATGCCTTTGGAGAACCTTGACAGTTCTCAAACACTGAGGTGATAGCCCTAAAGAGCCACCTAAAATTGCTTTGCTGAGAGATTTCCAGGTTTGTATATATTTCTCAGTTGCAGAAGTTAATGTTCCTCTTAGTTGTCCTTCAAAAATTTTTTGTTTATTGTTGTATCGTCCCCCCCCCCAATTCTTAGGAAATATTTCGGTCTTCTGTGAAGTATAAAGGATAATACAACAGATACTTGTGTTCTGTTTTCTAGTTGATATTTGGGTGGACCCTTCGTTTTTTGCATATACCTTTACTCCATAGGCAGTGTTTAATTTGGTGGTTATTATTCCCATGTATTTCCTTATATATTACACTTTATGTACTTATCTCTGAACTATGAATACATATATGTATTTGTATATATTATGTAAAATTATATAATTGTTTTACATTTAAAAAAATTGTAAATCACATACTATATTTTGTCACTTTATTTTAACATTGAGATTTAACAATGTTGAAATCAATAAATTTCTTCTTTAGTGTTAATTATATAGTGATTCCTCAGACAACAGGCTCCAGGACTGCCTCCCCCACATATAAAAATTTTTGAATGTGTGAGTTCCTTTTATAAAGTGATGTTGTATTTGCGTATAACCTATCCACATCCTCCATTATACTTCAGATCATCTTTAGGTCATTTATAATACCTACCAAAGTGTATATGGTATGTAAATAGTTGTGTTGTTCAGAGAACAGTAACTAAAAAGTCTACTTTTTCAATATAGTTTTTTTCTCATATATTTTTAGCCTGTACTGTAGTCGGTTGAGTTTGTACGTATGGAACTTGGCTATTCAGAGAACTGAGTACAAATCTTTTTTTTTTTTTTTTTTTTGGTTTTCTGAGACAGCATCTTGTATGTAGCTGAGAATAGCCTTGAGCTCCTGGTATGGCCAGGCTAGCCTTGAACTTGTGACACTCTTCCTACCTCAGTTCCCTACCTCAGTTCCTGGAGTGCTGGGATTACAGACGTTCACCATACCTGGCTGTAAATTTTTTTAAAAAATCATTTTCCTGTTTGTGAATGTTTAGGTTGTGTGTATTGTTTTACTATAGCATAGATTTCTATTCTGTGGACATTGTAGTGCTACAATGAAAATTTGGAAAAGTTTATTTCGTTGTGGACACATGTGTTTCTGTACAGCAAAGGTAAGCATTATTTTTCTGTAAAAGCCAAACAGTAGCTTATTCTTTGTAGATCATAAATTCTCTGTCATAATTAGTCAACACTGCCATTTTAGTGAGAAAGCAATCATAGGTATTACACAGATGTACAGCTATGAAGGGATGGTGAGATAGCTCAGCAGACTGAGTGCTTAGGCAAGCGCAGGCACCAGTGTTTCATCCCCGGCTCCACATGCTGTGCCGACTGGCCAAGGGGATCTGGCGTGCTGACACATGCCTGTAATCCCAACCCTGGAGAGGCTGAAAATAGGAGGATCAGTATGAGTTGCTGCATAATGAGACCTTGTATCAAATACATTTAAAAAAAAAAAAAGTATAGCTGTGGTCCAATAAAATTCTGTGTACTTAAACTGGCAATTTTCTTCTTCAAAACCTTGAGGGTTTTTTTTTTTTTTTTTTTTTCTCTCTCAGCTATTAACGTAAAAATTGTGGTGGCCCATGTCTGTAATCCTAGCATTTCAGGCTGAGACTGGAGGATTGCTGAGAATTTGAGGCCAGCCTGGGCTACAAAGTGAGTTCCAGTGAAACCCTGTCTCAAAAAGACCAAAAATGAAGCAAACCAGCACCACAACAAAAAACCCAAGACAGCAGGCCAGATTTAGCTGGTTCGTAGTTTACTGACACCTAACCAAGAGTGTTCTTTAGACTGGGGAGATGGCTCAGTGGAATAAGCGCTTCCCTGGCAAGCCTGAGGGCCTGAGTTCAATCCCTGGTTCAAAAGAAAACAAACAAACAAACAAAAAACCCCAATTCTTTGGGGGCTGGTGAGATGGCTCAGTGGTCTAAAGCATCTACTTAGAACAAGCTTAGCAAAACACAGGGACCGCGGTTCAATCCCCCAGCGCCACATGCCAGCCAGCTCCGCCCCCTGGTGGGCTGAGCAAAAAGTGTTCTTTCAGCAGTGGAATGAATGGATTGGATCTTAGACCTGTGTGGCTTCACTTTCACTCTAGGTATTGGCAGATTAATTTCCAAAATGGTTTCCATAGCACTTGTTGAGATTTCCTGTTTGTGCAAGTCATCACCCTTTTAGTGCTGATATTTTAATTTTTGCCATTCTGATTTGATTATCGGATAGTGGTTTGAGCCTGTGATACCCTATACTGAGGTTGCGTGTCTTTGTTGTATTTTAAAAAATCATCCAACATTGAAAAAGTATTGGCATCCTACTTAATGTTAAACTTTATTCTATGTGGTTATGATGGATTATAGATTTGGGAGTGGAATTACATCTTTGGTTGGAATTTTTAGATTGAACATCTCTTAATGAGTTACTTTGCAGTTTTAAAGAATGGAATGATTTTATAAACAATTACTTAATGCAGTCATTTATTTTTGGTTTATTGCTTGTGGTAGGGATGTGTAGCTGTTGTAAGATTTAATAAATGTTTTGGTTTTATTGTCCTCCATATCATAGTTTTTAACTGTTTTTCTTAGTTTTTGTGTCAGCAGGGGAGTAGCAGTCAGCATAGGCAGGAAGAACAGAATTTGAAAATCTGATTTTAGTTTGTATATTCCTTGTTGTTTAAAGAAACTTTTAACCTTTGAAACAATCTCACTTTTGTAGAAAAGTTGTAAGACTACTACAAAGATTTCTGATGTACATTTCATTTCTTCCAATGCCAATATTTAAAACTGCTGTATCATATTCTCTTATAGATATTTATTTAAATCTACCTAAACATGTTGCTTTTGAGCTGAGAGTGAATTTTGGACATGGTGCCCATTTAACCCTGATTAATTCATTATACCACCTCCAGACTTTTCTAAGGAACTGCATGTTCTCTTAAATAATTTGAGTGCCAGACAGGTATGGCCTACCCAATTTAGCAAGAATCTGTTTCAAAAAGATTTATATGTCTGCATCTTGTACTATGAATAACTACTATGGAGACAACAGTATGCAATGTATTAATTATTGTAACAGGCCTACTAACCTGATTTGAAATTGTCATTGCTACTTGTTTCTCAATAAAATTTATTTTTAAAAAATTTATAAAAAGAGATGAATATGTAGCTCAATGGGAAGGCCTTAGATTCAGTCAACAAAACAAACACCAGAATGTGGTCTGCAAAGTCAGAAAACCAACACTTACATAATACTGTTAATTTAATGTACAATTTTTTCTCAGCCTTTGCTGTTGGACTTAACAAACAGTAAAAGAAAAAAAAATACTCTGGTTCAGGTTTCAGTGCAGAATCATTGTATTTAACTTCTTTTACCTCTTTTGTCTCCCTTGGTAAAGAGATGGTTTCTCAGTTTTTGCCTTTCTTGATCCTACCACTGTGTAAAGAAAATGGGCTGGTTATCTTGTAGTTCAGGTTTAGCTCAGTTTGAGTTTATTTGGTGTTCCCTCATGATTAGATTCAGGTTATTAGAATTTTTTAGTAAAGAATGCCACAGAATTTTTTTTCCCCCCTGGGTGTGTTACCTCTCAGTATGTCATATCTAGAGGCCCATAATTCTCTTGGTAGGTAACCCCCCCCCCCCAGTCTACAGGGTCTTACTACACAGGTAGTGATTCTCCTGTTTTCAACCCCCCAAGTGCTGGGATTACAGGTGTGCGCTATCCGACCCAGTCTCAGTCATTATCTCAGCATGCCCCAGGGGCAGGGGCAGGGGCAGGGGCAGGGGCAGGGCCGGGGCTGGGGCTGGCATAGCAAGCTGGGGATCGAACCTGGCCGCGGCACTCTACCTAATAGGCACTTTAGTCTGCAGAGCTATCAGGCTGGCCCTCTTCTTTTTTTCTTTTTGGCAGAACCAGGGATTGAACTCAGGCCCTTGCTCTTGCCAGGCAAGTGCTTATTCTGCTGAGCTATCTCCCCAGCCCCTAGCCCTCTTCTTGCTAGTTTTTTCTTCAACATTTTTAGACATTTTACCACTGTCTGACTGCATCAAGTAGGACCTTTGCAACATAGTTGAATAGACTTAATATAGCTTATTATAGGGGAATAGTGGATAATTGAGATGTTTTTTGTAGTTAAATGTTTTGCACTTAGATTAGTTTTTTTATCTGTTGAGAATGAGTATTTTACTCAGGTCACATGTTAACTTTTGCATTTTGGAATAAACCCTACTAAATGTTAATATATTTTTGATTTATCACCAGATTTAACTTGCTAGTGTTTTTCTTAAGGTTTTCTATTCTGTCTTCATATGAGATGGCTCAGTATAATAATTTTCTTGAATGCCATTGTCAGGTTTGGTATTAAGTATTCGGATTTCAAAAAAAAAAAAAAATAAACCTGCATTTTTTTTTTAAACTTTCTGGAAAAGTTTAGATAAAGTTGGTGCTATTTTCTTAGAAGTTTTGGGGAAAAATATTGGCAAAGGTTTTGAGCCTGAGCTTACCTTTCTGGGAAAATTTGTAGTAATGAACCCAGTTTCGTTTACTGATACACTGTTAGAATCTTTTGCTTCTATTATTAGTATAGTCATTTGTGTTCTCAGAGGTACTTGGTTTTTTGCCTTTGATGAACTGAATCAGCTCATACCAGATTTTCACCTTTGATTACTACTGTTACAGCCCTTATGTACTAGTATTTTCTCTTGGGAATCTTTATGTTCTTATTAGGTTTCTGCTTTTCCCTCTTACTGCCATTTTAGTGGCAAGTATGGAGAAGTGTGTGAGTTGAGTCAGTGCTCAGTGGTAGCTTGTTTGGTTAACCTGCTTCAGATCCTATGTTCTACCCACAGCTCTGCAGGAAAAAAAAAGTACAGTGTGTGTATATTAAGTGGAATCTTTAACTTTTTTCTTTCTCTCCCCTCCTTAATTTTATTAGTGGAATATAACAGAAACAATTTGCTACTCATAGTTAGAATCATGCATGCTCAGTTGTGTTATACTCAGACTTCTGTGTTTTGTTTTACTTTGAGACAGGATCTCACTGAGTTGCCCATGCAGCAGTTTTCTACCTCAGCCTGTGGAGCAACTGAGATAGAGGTGTGTACCTCTATACACCTTCAGTAACTTTTGAGGCTTTGTTTGAAGTTACCCTAAACTTGTGTTATAAAAAAATCTGTTCTTTTTTTCCAATTTATTCTTCCTTCATTAGAATCTCTATTTTTGCTGGGCACAGTGGCACACATCTGTAAACTCCAGTACTCAGGGAGCTGAGGCCAGCCTGGGCTTTGTAGTGAGTTGAAGACTGAACGGAAGTACTGATAAGACCCTGGCTGGGGGGAGGGCAAAAACTGATCACTTCCATGAAATCACTTTTCTGCTTCCTTGTAGGATCTACTGTGTTGTTGATTAGGACGTTGTATGATCGTGTTTGTTGGAATTCTGTGTATGAACAACAGTGACAGTTTGGTGCCTAAGTACAAGGTCACCTCTTTGTGACTTTTGAAACACTCACTTTACATTCAGTGTTTGAAAACTTTTTATTTTGGAATACTTTTAAATTTATAGAGAAGTTTCAAAGATGACACAGAACTAGTATCTATATATCTTTCTCCCTTCTGCTAAGGTTGTTGCTGTGTGTGTGAGGGTGTTAGTGGGAAATAGTAGGGAATCAATTCAGGGCCTTCATACTGAGCTATATTTCTGGCTCTCCCACACATACTTGCTTGTTTTGTCTTTTTGAGACAAGGTTTCACTATGCAGTTCAGGCTGGTCTTGAACTCATTTTGTAGCCCAGGCTAACCTAGAACTTGCAGAGATTCTCCTGCCTGAGCCTCTCAAGTGCTGGGATTACTGAGATACACTGCCACACCTGGCACTTGTTTAGTTTTTGAGACAGGGTTTCGCTACGTTGTCCAGCTAGACTTGGACTTGAAATCTTCCTGTCTCAGCCTCTAAATTATAGGTGTTGATCACCATCCATATGCAGCTGCCATTTGTATATTTGTTGAAATTCAGAAACTACTAGATCGGACTCATGGTGATCTGCCTGTTTACAGCTTTTCAAGAGCAGGGATTACAGGTGTCCTCCACCAGGCCCACTCTCAGTTGCCCTCTCAGTGCACCCCTGTGGGCAGGGCTGGCATGGCAGGCCTGGAGATTAAACCCCCGACCCCTGTTCCTGCTTGCAGGCGCTTTAATCTGCTGAGCTATTTGGCCAGTCCTCTGAAAGTGGTAGGTCTTAATCCTACAGCAGTGGTATATTGTGGGTATTTTCTTATAGTGCTTTACAAACAATAACATTCCCTTCATCACCTTGCTTCAGCATCTGAGACCAAAGATAAGGCTATTTTAATGATGGGTTTGTCTGTACTTTGTAGGTTGAGAAAATTCTGACCTTAGTTCTTAGTATTTGTGGCCTTATGATGGGGAATTCTTGTCTTAGTCCAGTTAGGCTGCTGTAATAAAGTGCCACATACTGGGTACCCTTTAAACAATACATTTCCCGTTGAGTTTGAGAAGTTGGATGAAAGTTTCCAGAATCAGAATCTGCTAAGGGTCCACTCTCTCATAGATGGCATGTTCTGACTATATCTTTCAGTGGTGAAAGGCAAATAACCTCCTCTTCTATAATGTCTCTATAGGGGCATTGACCTTATCGACAAGGACTCTGGTATCTCTTAAAGGCTCTACCCTCTAAATACCATCACTTTGGAGGTTGGGATTTCAACATCGTGATTTTGAGGAGACACAGATATTTAGATTGTAGCACTAACAGTGAGGTAGATACATTTTGTCTTTAGTTCAACTCAAAAACACGGAGTCAGGGATAAAACATCATTTATTCCTATTGTCTTTTCTTTAGTGAGCTTCCTCTTTACCCCTGGTTTACCCAGTCAAGATGCTGCCCTTTGGGTCCTCTGATGTTCGGCCTGACTGCTTTCATGATTAAACTTAAAAGTCCAGGAGGTAGGGTAGCAGGTTTTTGTCATGTAGCTCCAAGGCAAATGCCAGCTTTGAACTGTCACTTGTCTCATTGTTGAGTTTCCCACTTTGTGGCTTATAGGCAGCTGGTGGGGAGTGGGTAAGCTTAGAAAATTATTTTCTTCAGATTGGTCTGAGCATCTTAATGTTCTAATCTAGAGGGTTTTTGGTTGTAAAATTACAGTGTGATACAGAGAACCTTTTGTTTATCTTCTGGTAAAAGACAGGCGATTGCATTTAAGGAAAAGGCTAACTGCCTGGCTCTGTTTCTCATATGGATGACTGTAAATTTTTTAAAAATAGATTTTAATGCATTCTTTTTCTCTGTGGAGTTAGAAGTTTAGAAGTCAAAAGTCACCAAAAGTAAAGAAAATTAAGACTAATCAAAGAGCTTAAGAAATGCTCAAATTTATTATATACTCAGTAATTCTACTAATGAATACTTATCTCAGTTTGTTTTTATTTCAGCTTTGACTAGATCAGAGTCTAAGAGAGATGGAGGTTTTAAAAATAATTGGAGCTTTGATCATGAAGAAGAAAATGAAAGAGATACAGATAAAGAGTAAGGATTTTTTCCCCTCAATTGTTCTATAAGAATAGAACTTTTATTATAAAAATAATTTATATTCTGTGGAGAGATTTGTTGTTGTGGTGGTGGTGGTGGTTTTCTGTTTTGTTTTGTTTTGATTTTTTTGAGACAGGGTCTCACTATGTAGTTCAGCCTGGCCTTGAACTCATTATGCAGCCTAGGCTGGCTTAAAACTCAAAGCATTTCTCCTGCCTCAGCCTCCCAAGTGCTGGGACTACAAGTGTGTGGCATCACACTCAATGTAAAAATTTTTCAAGTATAATATTCTTATGAAAACATTTGAGCTGGGTGGCACAAGGCTGTAATCCCAGGATTCTGGGAGGCTGAGACAAGAGGACTGCAAATTCAAACTCCATCTGAGCAATTTTAGACTTCAAAATACCATGTTTCAAAATTAAATAAATAAATAAATAAAAATTAAAGGCACTACAGATGTAGCTCAATGTAAGGGTGTGAGGTTTAATTTTCAGTACCAGGAGAAAGGTGGACATTTAACTTTTACGTGGTAGCATTAAGACCATTGACATAGCAGTTATTTATTGCTAGATAAGTTTGTTGTTATATTTCTCAGTCTTTTGAAATGCACAGATATATGCGTGTAATACATGTAAACTTGTGCTTAAAAATTGATCATACAGCAGAGTTCTAATTAAGGACATTTTTGTTTTAAAGAAAATGCATTCTTTTCAGGCCACGGTTTGAAAAGCTATCATTTATTGTATGTGAGTGAACCCCAGGTTAGGACTCTTCAATTTTGTATGAAAATTTTAATCCCATATCTTCCCTAGTTGTGACCATACTGCCACTTTGGTCTTAGATAAGAGTCACATCAGAGACAGTACCACTATAAGTGATAAATCCAGATGTTGACCCAGACAGAAGTTAAGCTAAATTTTGTTAGTATAGTTGGATTGAATACTGAATAACAACTTTAGTTTTTCAATAGCACTTATTGCATGTCCTGAGGTATGCTACGAATTCAACAACTTTCAGTTTCTTACTGATCTGGTTACTCACTGACTAGTAAATTTAGAGAAACATTAATATAAACACAGAGCTCTGTAAAATTGTATATATTATGTAGAAACTTTCCATAAGTCATTTAGAGCATATTGACTGAATATTGTAGGTGCTTCACATCTGTGTTCAGTAACTCCATTCATCATTGCCACCTTAGGTAGCTTGAAATTTTATTTGAGAGTTTTGAGCGAGTAAGTCTCATTTAAACTCATTATTTTATGGTCTTCCTTTTCTGTTCTGTTTTTGATTTTTTTTTTTTTTTGAACATTTTGTTATAGACATTTAGTATTTTTATGGTCATAAAAAAAATAGGAAGTTCAGCTGACAAGGAAGTAGACTGCTTTCAAATATTTTTACATAATGTAAGAATTTATAGTTAACAAGTTCTGGGGTATATATAAAATTAATGAAATAAAAATGTGTTTAAAAATAGAGTTTTACTATAAAAAGCATAGAATTGTCTTCAGAAAGATGTGTTTGAGGTTTTGGGTTTTTTTTTTTTTTTTTTTTTTTGTCTTTAGTGCAGGGTCTACAGGGTCTCACTACACAGACTGGACTCGTAGTGATTCTCCTGTTTTCAGTTTCCCAAGTGCTGGGATTCCAGGCCTGCACCACCACGCCCAGTCTCAGTCACCATCTCAGTGCGCCCCCAGGGTGGGGCCTGCCAGACAGGCCGGAACCCTTGGCCACTGTGTCTGCCTCAGCAGGTGCTTTAATCCGCTGAGCTAGCTGGCCGGCCTGTGTGTTTGATTTTGATGATCATGGTTGTACTTTAAAAATTGATTTTTAAGGTTGTTTTTATTAATTGATTTTTAAAATATTGTATTTTCTTTCCTATGCTGCATTTTGTTTCTTAATTGTGCTTTCTGAAAAATGAGTGATAATATATAAAATTCATAGTTAAAAAATGTTTTAATTATGACCTGTTTTCTCAGTCTTGCTTGCCACCTACCTGATTATTAAAAAAACTTTATCAGCACACAGTGCTTGTATAATTTAAGGCTATTTTCCTTGGCAAGGATGAAACTGTAGAGATTAAGTATATATGCTGTAGTATCTAAAGTGCTTTACTGAAAAAGTTTACTGATTGTTTGAATTAGTTGAGTGTAGAAGGTAAAACTTGAATTTAATGTATAGGTTGTAATTGTTACTTAAAATTCTTTCCCCTTATTTTTTATGTAGTGGAGCAAATCTACTCAGTGTAGAAGATGATAAGGATTCTGAAACCTCTAAAGGAAAAAAGGCAAGTGTTGATTTTAAAGTTTTTTCTTTTAAGTTACATACTAAAAACTCCTCTTGAAAAAAGACTTAATTTTTTCATTCGTACCAACTTTCCCACCTCAGAGGCAATTACTGTTTGAACTACTTTTTAAAAAATTCCTATGTAAATAATTGTTAGCCAATTTTGTGTTACGTTTTTATCACAGTAGAATCAACCTTTTAATCTACTCCAATGAAATTAGTATCATGTCTTCATTTGTACCTTTTAAAGATGAGGTTGAGCACTCTTTCATATATGTAGTCCATTTCTGTTTCCTTTTGATAATTGTTAATAGCCTGTATCCACTTTCTGTGTGGTGTTTACAGTATTATTCATAAGCATTCTACTGTTGTTGTCGAAGATACTTCTTGACATCTGAAATTAATGGATTTTATAATGATAAATGACAGCTTAATAGTATATCTTACTACTGCAATTTACTTTTTTTCAGAGATGGGAATGAAAGAAGCTTAATGATAGAGTGTAACCATCTTACAGTGGTTTCTTAGGTTTGATACTAGTTGCTAATACTGTCCTGCATTGCTTAATGGCAATAAGCAATACTTTCAATAAGAATAAATTCTAAGGAATGTGATTGTATGCAGTTTCCTTGCATGAACATCATAAAGCGTACATGAAACTGGATGGTGTAGGTTAGTTATTGGACTTGGCCTCAGTGTAGATCAAGAGATGCAATAAAATGAGTTGTAGTAGGCTGCTGTGGGGTGGAAAACATACAGTGGACATTTTTAAAATTTCTTTTATGTAACTAGGAGTTTATTCTAAAAACAAGAAAAAAAGTATGGTGAATGTACAAGCCAGTAACATAGTTGGGATTGTCATTTTTAAACATATATTGTACTTAATTGTATGTGTTAAACCTTTTTATAACTGGCTACACAGTAAATTTGTTACACTAGCATCACCACGAACACACAATGGCTATTCTGTCAGTAGGTGACAGTTTCATCATTATGATGTTATGGACCACCATCGTATATGCAGTATGTCATAGACCAAAACATTAGTATTCAGCGTATAGCTGTGTTTTAATCCAGTTATTTTACTCGACCTTATTCTTCTTTGTTAATGGTAACTACTGCCTTGGAGAAAATGTATTTTCTTATGCTCTCAAATGTATCATTCCAGCCCCCACCCTTGTGGCCCAGGACCTTTATACTGAGGTACATGCCCAGGCACCCTACTCTTATTCCCATTTAAGTTTTGAGACAGTCTCCCGCCCAGCTGGGACCTGAGTTCCTAGCATTTGTAAGGTCCTTTTGTATGAGTTCTAGCATCATGAAATGTAAAATAACACTTCTCAGAAGATTTATTTTTTTTCCTTTATTTCCGTATTTTTTTTCTCTGCAATGTGTTTTGTCATAATTAAGGATTTTCTTAAGCTAGAGATGGGAGAATTTACTGCATTAGAGTTTTTTCCCCCCGTACTGTGACATTTCCTCTCTCACTCCCTCTCCTTCACAAACAGGCAGCTGAACCCAGGGCCTCTGCACATGCTAGGGTAGTACTCTGCCACAGATCTATATCCCTGGCCCTTTTTAAATCTGATTTCTACATGGAGTCTTACTAAAATGCCTAGGCTAGCTGTGAACTCAGTAGGCCTCAGCCTGTTGAATAGCTGGGGTCACAGGTATGCATTCCCACTCCCCAATAAACTGACAAGGCCAGCTGACACAGTTAAACCAGTATCTTATATGTAAAATTATATTTTTCACTTTGATATAGATATAAATTTGCATTTTCATATTAATCATTTCTTTTTTTTTTTTTTTTTTTTTTTGGTGGAACCAGGGATTGAACTCAGGCCCTTGCACTTGCTAGGGAAGCGCTTATTCCACTGAGCCATCTCCCTGACCCCATGCTTGTTTCAGAATTTTGAGACAGAAAAATATGACTGGTTTTAAAGTTGAGTTTGTTTTCTGATCATGCTAAGACACAACAGATTTTAGTTTTTCTCAGTACATGCAAATTTCAATCAGTTTTGCTTACCTGTTTTTGCAGTGCAACTGAATTAACCATATCTTACTTTGGCCCAAAATACCTATTTTTGGTTTTCTTTCCTTTCTTTTTTTTTTTTCTTTTGAGACAGGGTCTCAATATACAGTTCAGGCTGGCCATGAGCTTACTTTGTACCCCAGACTAGTCTCAAACTCACAAAGATCCTCTTGCCTCAGCCTCCTGAGTGCTGATTGTTTTCCTTTCATTGAGACAGGATCTTGCTATGTAATTTAGGCTGGCCTTGAAGTCATTATGTAGCCCAGGCTAGTCTGGCTCATAGTCTTTACAATAGCCATGTTTGTTCCATAGAATGATTTTTGCCTTTCAGCTTCTGTTGTTTCACCATTTCGCTTTATATATAGCATAAAAATTTTGTCTTTTGTTGTGAAAAATACTGGCTATAACTTAACATAGTAGAATCATCATTTGTTTCATAACACTTAACCAGCATTTTATGCTTGATGTTGGGGGGGGGGTAAAGGAGCACATTCAGAATCATCATTTATCTTCTGGACAATTTCCTCAGAGTTCACTAATTTTTTTATCTTCAGCTGTATGTAATCTGCTCTTTAATCTATCCACAGTGGCATCGTTTGTAGACTTTCACTATTATTCTTCAAAATTGTGGGGTTTTTTTCATATAACATCTAGAGTTTTATTTTTGTAATGCCTACTTTATTTTTGGAATATAAATGTTTTAACATTCTTAATGCTTTTAGTAATTTGATATCTTTTACTTTATTTATTTATTTATTTTTTTGGCAGAACCGGGGATTGAACTCAGACCCTTGTGCTTGCCAGGGAAGTGCTTATTCTGCTGAGCCATTTCCCTGGCTCTATATCTTTTAGATTTTATCTGAAATTCATATTTTTTGAACTTCCTAAATTCTTAAATTTATTATGTGATACATGATAATTTTGAGTGCAATATAGTACATTGATAATTTGTGCACACTTAGCAGTCCCAGTGAAATACTCATGCAGCAAGTGTATGTTGAACAGTGTTACAGAGGCTAGCAAAAACAGGTTTCGTTTTCTGTGGAATTTAAATGCTAGTAATTGGTTGTTTTCATTAGTTACTGAATAGTTTAGGTTAAATTTAGGAAGTTGCAAACTAAAGCTCATGACCCAGATACAGCCTGCAGATAATGATCCATAAGCTAGATTGGGTTGTATATTTTTTGATGTCTGGGAAAAGAATCAGAAGAGTACTATATCATAAATAAAAATTATATAACATTTTTATATCCATACATGAAAATTTGCTAGAAAACAGCCATATTCCTTCATATGTTATCTGTGGATGCTTTTGTCCTGCAACAGCAGATGAAAATATTTGGACAGAGTTGTAGGTGAAGCAGAGACTGTATGACCCAGAAAATCTAAACTGTTTACTATCTGGCTTGTTACAGAAAAAGTTTGTCAATCTAGTGCTATTTATACTGTATAAATTATTCTACACATTGTGACCCCCAAAAAAGCCTTTTTAGGTGGCTGGCATATTAATCAGATAACACATTCTAAGCCTAATAACTATCGACTTTATAGGGTCATTGCGAGATTTATGAGGAGACTGTAGCTCATGTAATTCGTGACACCAGCAGTCTTCCGTAACAGCTGCATTTTGTTAGCGTTATTAAATGCAGTTGATGAATCTTTGCAGATTAGTTTTCCTTTGCAAATAATGATATATTTATAGTTGCAAAATTGACACCAGTGAAGCCCATGTTTACAGTTGGCTTTTCAGTAGATGGTTGTTTTATGCTTATCCATCTGTTCACAGTAATTCTGATGTTGTGCTTATCCAGAAAACTGTTTTAGACTGGGAAGGAAGGGCAGATAAATTCCAGGTAGAATATATCATTATGTTTTTATTAACAGGAACAGTCTATAATCTGTGAGATAATGAGCCATAAATGGCTCAACTTTTATTTATACTTTGTTTTTCCCTCATTGGATGTAAATTACCAAATTAGGAGCGCAGAATTATGGAAAATAAAAACTGTTAGAAAAGTAGATGAACCAGGTTGTCTGCAGTTTTATGCTGTGCGTTATCTGTAGTTTTATGCTGTGTGTGAATTTTGTTATAGGGGTGTGTGTGTGTGTGTGTGTGTGTGGTACTGGGATTGGGCTCAGGGCCTTGTGCTTGCTAGGCAAGCATTGTACCACTGAGCTACATCCCCAGTCTTTTTTTTTTTTTTTTTTTTCAGATAGGGTCTCACTCTGTAATTGAAGCAGGTCTTAGACTCACAGTGATCCTACCTCAGCCTCCCTGAGATTTTTACCTAGTTTATGTTGTGTTTTATTTTAGCAGTTATTTCTGAATTTCCTGGCAGCTGAAATTATGCCCTATAGTTTTAAAGCTGTGTGATAAAAATCTTTACAAATTTATTTTCTGTGATTCTATAGAATGATCCATAGTCCCAGTTACATTCTAAATGTAATGAGTGGTAAGAAACCTGACTCATCTGGAGTTACTAATTCTTATTGCTGATTAAAATTATAAAGCATGTAATCAACCTGTAAAAAAGCAGAATTGGGAATTTAACAAATTTTACTTAAGTACAGTAGATTTTCCTGCTTTGATTATAATGTCTGGGAGGAATGTACACCTAACCATGCCACCACTCTCATGCCACACGCTGCTCCCAGTGACCTAAACTCAGTGTCTGTAAAAGAACTAAAGAAGTAGACTTCAGGACAGGGGCCGGGGAGATGGCTCAGTAGAATAAGTGCTTGCCTGGCAAGCAAAAGGGCCTGAGTTCAATCCCCGGTTCTGCCAAAAAAAAAAAAAGGAATAAAAGCGGACAATTTACTGGTCCTTTCCTTTTTTAAAAAATTTTATGTATTTGGTACAGGGTCTCACCACACAGCTCAGACTCATAGTGATCTTCTAGTTTCAGCCTCCCCAGTGCTGGGATTACAGACAGGCACCACCACACCCGACTCCTTCAGTCTCTCTCGGTTGGCTCAGTGTGCCTGGGGGCAGGGCCAGTGCAGCATGTGGTACTGGGGATTGAACCCTGGTCCTTGTGCTTTGCATAAGCAGGTGCTTAGACCGCTGAGCTATCTCCCCAGCTCCGGATATTTTACTTAAAGGGGGGAAAGGGGAAGAGAGGCAGACAGCTACACAGATACTTTGGACTAGTAGGGAGCATTGGAAAAGAAATACTTCTGTATTTCTTTTCTGTAGCTTCTTTTATTGGGTTTCTTCTTCCAGTGTAGGCTTCTGGAACCTGATTGACTCCAGGGCTGATTTTGGTTCACCCTTTGGATTTCTTCAGGTCATAAAACCATTCCTCTTATTTGATGGAGGTTGGGATGGGGGAGCTAAGGATAGACAGGTTACATTTCTGCATTAAGTAAAGGGGTTTCTGTTAGTGCTACTTGAGACCTTTCCTGAGCCTAGTTTCTTTTCCTTTGTCTGATTGCTTGAGCCTAATCTGAAGGGTTTGAAGCTGCCTCCAGCTGCCCTAGTAAGGCTCTCCATTAATTTATTACAAAGCTCAAGGAGTCTAGGGTGCTTGATGATGGTCCTTGGATTGACTGACTGTAGCTATACCCACAGGCTTTCTCCAAATGAAATGTTGAAGCCAGGTGTGGTAGTGCATCCCCCAGCCTTTTGGGAAGCTGAGGCAGGAGAATCACAAATGCAAGCCCAATTTGAGCAATTTACTGATTTAGAGAGATACTGCCTCAAAACAATAAATAAAAAGGCTGAGTTCAACCCTGAGTCTCCTTTTCCCAAAGGAAAGGTCAGTCAGAGGTGATTAGGTGATTTCCTTGGCGAAAAACTTGGCAGAATGCCTAGATATCGAAGTAATCTTGACTTCATTCTTAAGAGGAAGGATTAATTTACACATTAATGTAAATAAATTTTTATCTTAGTTCCATTTTTTTAAGAGTTTAACATTTGTGTTTCTACAGATAACACTGTAGAATTTCCTCTTGTGAGGTGGTATGGGAAAGCAAAAGCAGTATGGGATATCTTTGTTCTAGTTCAGGCAGATTCCTTTGCTGCTGCTTTTTTTTTCGGGGGTGGGGGGACAGTCTCTCACTGTGCAGTTCATGGTGGCCTCGACTGCAGCAGTCCTCTGAATGCAGAGATTACAGGCCTGTACCACTATGCCTAGCCTTATTTTGCCTTTTAAGCTTACTGGTTTTTAAAATGTAGGGATAAAGTTGTTACAAAATTTACATAACATATAGGGGAGAAATTTTATTGAGAAAAAGAACCAATGTTGGAAATTAGAGTTTTCTGCCTATTGCTCACCAACCAGGTCCAGTAACTGACCTGGTGTTTTAGTCGAGTTGCTTGAGCGCTACTATTACATATAAAAGGTGGATCAGCCTGGCGTGCTGGCGCATGCCAGAATCACATCACTGAGGATGTTGAGGCAGGACACTGTAAGTTTGAGCTCAGCCCCAGACCTGCCAGGTAATTTTTTTTAACTCATCGGGTAATTGTGCTATAATATAAATGTGAGCACTGTTACTGTAATCCACCTGAGAATTCGGATTATTAGGAAGAAGCTAGATTTCCATCTATAAGGGCTACACTAGATCTAATTTGTATTTGTAGACTGTGCTCAAATACATTTTGAGGCAATTATGAGGCTCTCTGTACTGGATGGATTTAAAACTTGTTTTTGTCTAACTGGCTATGTGAATATGTTGGAGGACTTTCTCTCCCTCGTTAGGTATATTGGAAATTTGTTTTAGCTTCAGATACATCTTCTGGGATCAATAGGTGCTTTGCAGGAAAATAGCCTCCAATCTTAGTGGTTTAGCTCTCCAGGTTTCTTATCCCTGAGGGTCTGTTTACCAGGAAAGGCTGGTGGGAAGTCTGTGGCACACACACTACAGCGGTCTGCCTGTCTCCTTGAAAGTGCTGAGAGGTCCACTTGTCATCACTGGATTAGGAAGTAAGGGAGGTGTTGGGGAAGAGAAAGTAAGAAGCTGTGTGTCAACAGTAGGCGTTCTGGATTGTAGCATACAGATATGTCAGAAAGTAAGAACATTGCTGGCTCACTGAATGCTTTCCTCAGTAGGACTTCTTGTGGGAGAAACTTCTTGACATCCTTTGGGGTTTCTATAGGAATAATTAGGGGAAAGTGTCAAATTACTACCTTAAGAGTATCGTTTGTTATGAAAGAATAAAAAAGGGAAAAAAAAAACATGTCAAAAGTGAAATTAAAATAAAATTTCAGAAGTTACAGTAGATACTATGAAAGGGAAAGAAACTGCTTAAAAGGAAAAAACAGCTGCAGTGGGGGAAAGGAGAAAAGAAAGAGTGGGAATATATATGATAGTTAAGGTAATTGTATTACTAATTTCTGTTGGTTTATGGAAAGGAGCAGTTAATACTTAATTATTTGATCAGTTTTGCATGTCAGTGTCTGATAATATGAACAGCTACTTAGAAGATAAGAATATGCAGTATGACAACCATTGTTAATTGCCTGTCATCTTGCTTTGAAATTCTGTATTTTTATTGTTATTTTTATTTTTTAAAATAAAATACAAAATAAAAAAATGAAATTGATGCATGGAGGACATCCATATAATCACAGCACTCTGAGAAACAAAATCAAATGTACAAGACTAGGGAGACTACCTTAAAAAAATGTGCTGGGCACAGTGGCACTTGCTGTACCCTAAGCTACTGAGAGGCTGAGGCGAGTGTCACTGGAGCCCAGAAGATAGGTGCTGGCTTGGGCAGTATACAGAGACCCTCATGTAATGAACAACAAAGAAGAAATTAAGAGTGATTTTTTTTTTTAAGTGTCATTTTTGGAAAATTATCACTAAGAACTGAGGTTTTTTGCCACAGTCTGAAAGCAGCTCTTAAGTGTCTTGTGCAGTAAATATAATCATGATACATTTTCCAAGGGGAGTGGGGCACACTGTTACATAAATCTTCCCCAGGTTATTGTTATTAATGTGTTTGTTAACATTTTCACCTGTGAAGATATTGCAACCATCTGTTTGTTTCTATAAAAATTTTAATATAAAGCAAATAAAATCACTTGCTATTTAAATAAGTAATATTTTGCAGTACTGTCCTATAGGTAGCACCAAGGCCTTCTAAGCAGAAGGAAGGGTTGGTTTTTATTCTGTGGAGGAAGCTATCCTAAAATTTGCTACCCTCATTTTTTCAAGTATTTTCAGAAAAATTTACATGAAAAGAAAATAATGTATTGTTCTTACAACTTTGCACTGTTTTTAGAAAAAAATCACAAGGAAGTACTCTCATGTCCATACCTTTGGACATGATGTTGCCTTTGCCCTCTTCCCTCAGTAGTGTTTGTCTAGTGAGTTTTCAAGTAGTTGTTGATACATTGTGGCATTCATTGACTCTTAATGTTTATGGATCTTTTTTACAGTTAAATCGTCCATCTGAAATTGTTGCTACTAGTTCTGGTGATTTCATCTTGAAGACATATGTGGGACGAAACAAGAGTGAAAGTTTTAAAACTCTAAAAGGCAATCCAATTGGGCTTAACATGTTGAGCAACAGCAAGAAGTTGAGGTATAGGTGCATCACCACACTTTCCTACAGAGAAGATGAAGGGTTTGACATGAAAGAACTTTGTATACAGTAGGCCCACTCTATAACTTTTGTTTTAAATTTGTCAGTAGGCCAAGAGTTAGGATGGCCCCAGTATATGGATTCTTTTCTTTGAATCTGGGTAGTAGGGTTGAGTGCATTCGTTCCTAGGTTTTGAATAGAACATATCTCAAGAAATACTTCATTAGGCTGGTATCTCATGCATTTGCTTTGTATGATTAGTAGAGTCTCAGTCATAATATTAGAAATGGAAGTCAACAAGAGCTGGAGTGGTCATCTCATTTAGGGGATACTACAGATTTAAGATCATCTTAACAAGGGCTTTTTTCCTCAAAAATTTCTTATTCTTTTTGTCTTCCTGATATATCCCAGACTTCTTAGTGGTTGTCATAGTGTGAACCACTGCTGCTTAATATTTGGCTATCAGCGACCTGTAAGTGGGGACAAAAATTATTATTTCTATTTTGTTAATTTATATATAGCTGAGACTCATGAAGCCTGATTTTCAAGTTAGTAGCAGAACCAGAGTTAGAATTTAGAAATCATGATTTCAATTCTAGTGTTCATTTTTTTCCCTTGAATTGGATTAGAAATTCTGGAAAGAAGAATTAGAATTAGAAAAGGAATTAGAAGATTCCTAGTAGACAGTTTTATATGGTTAATTGTTTTTTAAAGAGTAAAGAAAAGAACAAAGATTTTTATGTATGTGCTCAGATTTTAAAGGACGTTTTTAGTGGGGTCACCATGTATATAATTTTTTCCCCATTCAAATTACCCTTTGTTGTTTGAATTTTGCAGTGAAAATGCACAAAATGCATCATTGTGTTCTGGAACAGTAGTTCATGGTAGACGTTTTCATCATGCTCATGTACAAATACCAGTAGTAAAAACAGCAGCCCAAAGGTAAGGACTGGAATTCTCTTTGTTTAGTATATACATTCCACCCTCCTTAAAAGGATGTTTACTTTAAAATGAATGTCCTCCAATTTTTTCTCTTTTGTGAAACTACTATTTTTGTTGAGATAACATCTCTGAAATAATTCATAGCCTGAAAGTCTTTATACTATATCTTGCCTTTGAAATAATTACATTCTGTAAATAAATAGTATTAAAATAATCCATTCTATTGCAATCCAAGTGTAAGAAAATATTTAAATTCAGTTTATTTATAGTTTGAACCTTAAGTGTTTGCTTGAGGTATCCTGGTTTGAGCTCTGAAAGGTAAAGGTATAGTTTACTTGCTTTTTAAAGTTTATAAAATACATCTTGTCAGTTTTAAATACTTCAGAAAATTTTGATTTCAGTAGTTTTATATATTTAAGGGTTCTTGTTGATTTCGAAAGTACTGCTTCAAAGTTCAAATAATGAAAGTAATAGTTGGGGAAAGCTTGGTATTTTAAATGCTTCGGACATTTTTCGGAGACCATGTTTAGAACGTTACTATCCATTTCAGTTGACTCAGACTGACAGGCCCTAACAAAAGGTTCAGAGTCTTTTGCATAGTAGTTTTCAAAAAACAGTAAAATTTAAGAATTTGTTATACATTTTAGGTACTGGCCTTCGTTTCTTTAAAAAAAATATCAGCCTAGGCTGCTTTCACAAAGGAAATGTTTTAGTTTATTTCCCCCTTCCCCTCTGCCCTTTACCAGTACTGGGAGTTGAACCTAGGGAGCACTGAACCCTTTTTGTTTATTTACCTATTTATTAGGGGTTTTGTTTGTTTGTTTTCTTTTTTGAGACAAGGTTTTGCTGTGCAAATCAGCTGGCCTCGAACTCACTTTGTAGCCAGAATAGCCAAACGCACAGTCAGCTTTCTGCCTCAGCCTCTTGAGTGCTGGGATTTCTGGTGTGCAGCACCACACCTGGCTATTTATTTTTATTTTAAGACAAGGCTTTGCTAAGTTCCCCAGGCTGGCCTTAAACTTGGGTTCTTCCCTCACAAGAAAATGTGTCTTGGAGGCCTGGCCCTAGCTCAGTCCTTTAAGTGGCAGCTTCCATAAAGCTGTCAGCCTCAGGTTGCTGGAGTTCGAACCTCACAACTCTCCCGCTGGCCAAAAGTGCCCTGAAGGCATTCGAGGAACAAAAAAAAAAAAGGAAAGAAAGAAAATGTGTCTTGAACTTGAGTAGTTTTTTCCATATTTGACATTTACATAGATTTGCTATAACATAAAAATCTTAAATCTCTGTTTTTTCTTTTTTTCTTCCTTTTTTTTGGTACCTGTAATCAGGACCTTGTGCTTGGCAGGCAGGCTATCTCCCCAGCCCTTAACTAGCTCTATAAATGAGATTTTTAAACCTTTCTTTTGCTTTTTGTTCTGTCACAGTTTTTACAGAAGATAGTTGAAAAATTCAGTTAAGAATACAAAAAAATAAATGATTACATATACCAAACTTGTCTTGCCCCTATTGTGTAAAGTATACAAACAAATTAAGCTCTCAGACCAATCAGGTGGAGGGAAAAGGAAACATATGCTCGTAAATTAATTGTAATAACAGAAACAGCTGCTGAAGAGGCGTTGCCTTCTTGGTATTCTGATAATATGACCTAAATTGAAATACTCATTTAGAGTTTCAAGTTGTGATCTATTTTATGAAAATACTGTTTAATGCTTTTCAAGTTATATGTTTGGAATTATTCATATAGTAGCCTATTCTTTGTCCCTTGTTTCCTTATTGGAATATTTGAAAAATGATTTCAGTCTGGAAATTGGGTTATGTCTTATTTTATTATAGGTTTCAGCACCTATCATACCTTACTGTGTATCATTTCTGATCTTCGTAAATGATTCAGCTCAGCTTATACGAGCTTGTATTTAGTGATAAAATACCGTTTCTGAAAAACAGTGACAACCTGAATTTGTACTCAAAGGCGCAATCTTGTCGAAGAATGATGAGAAGGAATATATAAAACGGTAGAGTCAAGTAAGCAGGACAGATTCTACTTGTTTTTTATTTACTGCGTATAAGAATAAAATTTCTCATTCCACTTGCAGTATGACTGTCAATAAAAATATTTTTAATTCAAAGACAAGTCACTGAGAAACTTTTCAGTGTGCTTCCTTCAAAATCAGTGATTTTGTGCTACATAATAAGCATAGATGAGAAACAATATTGAGAGGTGAATGTAGCATAGTTCTTGCCCTTGAAGATCAAATTTAATTAGAATAGAAGACAAAAAGACTGACAAGGGCCAGCAAAATAGCTCAGCAGGCTAAGCAAGTACAGGGATTAGGATTGTACCACATCTTGTGCATGCAGGCCCTGCCCTTTGATGCATTGAGCTTGCCACTGAGACCAGGCGTGGTGACGTACACCAGTAATCCCAGCCCTGGGGAGGCTGAAAACAGGAGGATCACTATGAGTCCTAGCTGCATAGTAAGACCCTGTACCAAATACATTAAAAATAAGTAAATAAAAAGAAGACTAAGGGCCAGCCAAATAGCTCAGCGGATTAAAGCACCTGCAAACAGGTACAGGCGCTGGGGGTTCAATCCCCAGGCCTGCCATGCTGGCCCCACCACAATCCTACAAGGGTGCGCTGAGACGGCAATGGAGACTAGGCGTAGTGGCCTGCACCTGTAATCCCAGCTCTTGGGAGGCTGTAAACAGGTAGATCACTACAAGTCCAGTTTAGTAGCGAGACCCTGAACATCCTGTAGACCCTTCCTTACAATACAAAAAAAAAAAAAAAGAAAGAAAAAGACGATGACGACTAACGACTAACAAATACATGATAACTCAACAGTGGAGCTATTTAAGTATGTGCACTAATACTGCTGATCAGGGAAGACATCACAACAAGGAAGACTACTGCTTCTGAGGAGCTTCTGAGGACACTGGGGGGGAGAGGACACCATGCCGCAGCCTCATCTTGGGAGGCATGGAGAGAAAGCTCACTTGTGGTACATGGCAGTGTGCAGAACTGAGGCCTCAAGGGAATGTGAGCACGCTGGTTTCTGCAGCTTCAGATAAGAGTCCTCTTTGGCCTTAATTTGCTACTAAAAGAAATGCCACCAGTTTGATCATTCAAACACACAGCATTCTTGGGCTAACAATATACAGTGCTGTTAATTCTATGTATATATATGCTATATATATGTATATAGTATATATATATAACTTGGTTTTTTTAAATGAATCAGAGCTGAATAGTCATTTGTAGTTCTTTAATAAAGATATAGGGAACAAGTTCTTCACATCTTTGTATCTATAAAGGAATGAGTGAGCGTGGTGTGGTGGCTCACACCTGTAATCCCAGCACTTGGAGGCTGAGGCAGGAAGATTGCTGTGAGTTCAAGGCCAGCCTGGGCTAGGGTGAGTTCAGGCTATCCTGGATGTATATAGATCCTGTCTTTAAAAAAAAAAAAAAGAAAAGAAAAAAAACAATTCCAGCAAAAAAGGGCAGTGAGTAAAGATTGTTAAGGATTTAGCTAGTTTTGGGAGATAATTCACATTCCAGCTTGGTTTTTTTTTTACTATTCCAAATATTAATTATGATTACTTCAAAGATAGGTTGTCCATAGTAGTAAAGGAAAATGGTATTTGTCTGGAAGTGAAATGTAGAAATTTAAAAAATATGTAATTCTGTACCATCCATACCTCTTAAATCAGACCTAAAGAACAAAACATCTTAGGCACTTGTCTTTATATTTTTCAACTGGTGGTGCAGGGGTGGGTATTGCATAAGTTTCTGTACAAGCGTGTAATCTGAGTGAGAAAATGGGCTGCTAGAATAAGCCAGATTTAACTGTTAACAGCGTCATTAGGAAAGAATTTTTAGTGACAAATCATGACATAGGTACCAGAGTTGATCTTTTTGCTTCCTTTTAAAAACAAAACAGAACAAAAAACTGCTAGAGTGGCACTAATTCAAGGTAAATTTTCCTTTTCATTTTGTGTGAAATAGTCCACAAATTAGGTCAGTGCTGTTACAAAGACATGAGTAATAATGACCAGCCTGTAAGTACGAAATCTCCTGTAGGGCAGGGTTTCACAAATTCATCGAAGCTTCTTGTGGAATGCTATGACTTATAAATTAGTTATATAATTTATTTTTCTGAAGAATAAGGTGAGGGGAAAATAATTTTTCCTTTATTTTCTTGGTTTACTGGGAAAATCTACTCTGTTCTGTGTTGTGTTTCTTTTCTTTGTATCAGGTGAGTTTAAAAAAAAACAAAACAGGAAGACTAAACTCTTCTCACTTTGGTGCTCAGCACTAAAGTTGAAAATCGCTAGATTATATATTAAGTCTAATTTAAGAGTGAAGATTTCAAGTATGTGTAAATTGATAGTAATTATTTTCCTCATTTTTGAAAAAGTTTTTAATATATGTATTTTCTTGAATATATAAAAATGTTACCATGTTTTTCTTAGTTTGTTAGGATTAAGTTGTTACATGTGTGATCTACATGATAGGAATAGAAAAGTCAGTATGGAATTTGGGACTTTTGTAAACTGCTTTGCTTATTACTGTTTGAATATTTAGGTCCTTGAATTAATAATTTCAGGATATGAATCTTGGGTTTTATTCTAAATGGGAGACTTCATAGTTCTACTCATGAGTAATTAATGTGAATTGCTTTTTTGAATTCCATACACTGTGCACAAGTGTGTAACTGTTATACATTGGATTTTGATAAGAGATCATGATTTTAAGTCTTACGCTTTTCCTGTTTTCCCAAGCAAACACATACTGTTTATCTCAAGGTTTTCATATAGAAGTTTCAGCTTTAAAATTGTTTTTTCTTAACTGCAAATAATCATACCCGACAGTAGGATTTGAATTGCTTAACTTTTATAACATTAAGAAAATGTTGTTCCTTAAAGACTACAAAACTATCTTAAAATGACATATATTAATTATATCCTTCAATACTTAATAAAGTTAAAAGCCTTGAAAGAATTTTCTTGTATTTCTATGTCTGTCTTTTATATAGAGGTCATGTAAAATTGCTTATATTATTTTGTGTTGAAAAACTTAGACAAGACTTCAAACATAGAATATAATATATACAGAATGTTTTTAAAACAAATTGATGACATAATTTTGCCTTATTGACTATAGTTAGTACAATTACAATGATATATGAACAGTGAGGTCTTGCCTCTTACTTTTGTTTTCTTTTTCATGTTTTAAGCAATCCGGACCGAAAAGAAAGGTAAGATTAATTAATACTAATGAAATGAGAGCATGGATATAGCAGTAAAAGACCAGATTATTTGTGTGCTTTGAGAACTATCTACTGAATTAGAATTTATCAGAGATGGTGAGGGTGATGATGGTTGCATTAACAGCGATGGAAGTAGGGCCTTGTGCATAGTAGGCAAGTACTTATCCCTGGGCTAGCTTTCTAGTTCTTAAAGCTTATTGTTTTAAAGCAGGGAAACCATTTAATATATAACAAGATATGTGCTTTATGTGAGTGGTGTTTCATTATAATTTTTAACATATATTTTTCATTATTACTACTTTGTTTCAAGAGTAGAGTATTTCTGTACCTTGGTGGCAAAATTACTTTCTGTTAACAGATCAGAATCTTTCTTGGTAATACTCCTGTTTCTGATAACTTACTGTAGTAGAGAAAAGAGGGATAATGGATTTAGAACACCTTAAACCAGAGTTAAAACTTCAGGTATCAGATGTTTTCTTTTGCAGAACCAGGGATTGAACTCAGGCCCTTGCGCTTGCCAAGGAAGTGCTTATTCCACTGAGCCATCTCCCAGGCCCCCTAGATGTTTTCTATTTTGACCAGAAAATTTGTAGCAGAATTTTATCAGCTTTCCCTTCTGTCTGTATTTGTTCTCTTTGTAAAAACACCGGCAATCACATAATCTGTTAGTAAAGAGATGAGTAATATATAAGTAACATAGTAAAAGGATTTTGAGAATGTACATTTCTTTGACTTGTGAAATGATAATCGTTCTAAAGCAGATGTTGCCAAGAGTAATTGTCCCCAGCAGTGTGTGGGATATCTGTCATGAGTGTGTTTCTTCCATGTTTTCATAAGGTTTGCCTCATTTGTAAATCCTGCCTTTGCACCTCCCAAGTAAGTTAGGAGCCCTGGCATTAGAGCAGTATTCTTGGATAATTGGTTAGAAGACAGGGATATTCTTTTATGTCTAATTCTGTAACTTCAAGCCTATAATTTTGTTTAAAGATGTAGAAATAGTAAAGAGAAATCTTTAATAGTTTGAGTTAAACTTTATGATTGAATTTAAGAAATAGAGATTTTAAGGTGACCCTTTCAGCAAGAACATTTACACATACTTTGTAATTCTAAAGTATTTCACAAATGTGTGTGGGATTTTTTGGGTTTTTTGTCTTTTTGAGACAGGGTTTTGCTGTGTAGTTCAGGCTGGCCTCAAACTCACAGTGATCCTCCTGCCCCAGCCTCCTGAGTGCTGGGATTACAGACAGGTGCTGCTGTGCCCTGCATGTGTTGTGTGTTTTAATTGGATGTGTTATGCAAATATTATATCTTTAATTTTTGACTCATCAGTGACTACTTCTGAAATAAGGATGCTGAAATACAATGTACTTAATTGCTAGGAATATACATTAAATAACTACACTTCATGGAGATTTGTCTTATCGAAATGAACACATTCATCTTGTACACTATGCTGCAGTAATTAAAATGTAGTACTATTACACTGGAATGATAAAAAGATGCCAGCCCCACCCCCAGGGCATGGTGAGAAAGCAGGTGTGGTGATGAGCACCCTGTAATCCCAGCACTTGGGAGGCTGAAAACAGGAGGATCACTACGAGTCTGATCTGTGTAGTGAGACCCTGTAGACCCTGTACTAACATAAAAAAGAATGATAAAAAGATACTAGATTCCTTCTTTTTTGCAGTAGTTTTGTTTTGTTTTTTCTCACTGTGTAATAGAGGCTGGACTTTTACTCACTTGTGTAGCCCAGATTGGCCTCGAACTCATGAGAATCCTCTTCCCTTAGTCTCTTGACTGTTAGGATTTATAGGTGTGCACACCTTGCTTAACTCGTGTTGTGTTTGTACTGATTTTTTGCATGTGCTTTGATGTTTTATGACTATTTATATAGTGTGAGTGTATAACTGATACGTCCAGCAAATATTTAAATGCTTGCATGTCGCAAGGTCTTGAGTTCAATCCCGGGTACCATAAATAAACAGACAAACAAATAAGTGCCCGTATGTGCTAGGCAGTCTTCTAGGAGCAGAGAACAGTCTGTGTGCCTTCTTGTAGCTTAATATACTCACTGGAATAGTGCTAAAAGTTAGAAGATTTACTACTATATGTATGCAGTAAGTAGGCTCATTACCTGCTTAAAAATGGCAGTAATAATATTTGTCCATTGTTAAAGGGGTTTTGTGGGGGATGAATAATTACTTAAAATTGACTTATTATAAACATGTAAAACTTACATTAATAGTAACAAGCATTGAAATTCTTTCAGTTTTTGTGTTAAGATTGCCTGTAAGGACTTTAAAGCTTTTGAAAACTACTGAGCTGTGGGCATTGTGGTGCATACTTTAAATCCCAGCATTCTGGGAGGCCAAGGCAGGAGGATTAGCATGAGTTTGAGGCCAACCTGGGCTGCATAAGTGAACTCAAGGCCAACCTGCACTACATACTGAGAGTAAAACAAAAAATAAACTGAATTGAAGTAGCCACTGTTTATTAACAATCTTACAGATATGTCTGAGTGCGTTAATGAGGCTGAATGTCACCCATAACTCTGGGTCCTTACCTAAGTAACTTTGTCAGAGCTCAACTACCATTTGTGTTACCAGATTTTACTTAGTAAAATTTTGTTCACGTAAACCTTTCTCCCTCTCTGAATAATTCTGTAAACCTCCGAAATAAATGATTTATTCATAGGACAGTGGTTTATCTGATGAAAACTAGGTCTAGGTGATTGTAAAAATTAACCTTTCTAGGATGTTTTTCACATGTACTACTGAGTACTTTGAGGTAGGTTATAAGTTTAAACCCAACTAGCATAAACAAATACATTGTAGTATAGCTCTCCAGAGCTTTACAGACTTTTTTGTTGTGGGTGACTTTGATCATTTGAAGGACTCAGATTCTTTTCTGATTATAACAGAACCATAATTATCCCCAGAACCATATGCCATGCCAGCCCCACCCCCAGCCCCACAAAAAACATAAATCTGTAAAAAATAGTAAAGGTATGAAAATTGAGCATCAAATTATAAGGCAGATATTCTCAGACCGGATTAAAAAAAATAACCACACTTTCCACAAATCATTCATTATAGTAATAAAGAATTAGAGAAGAGGGAAATAAAAAGATGGGAAAATGCACAAGAGGTGATAGAGAGCTCAGATTGTTTAAATCTTTAAAATTCATTAAGGGACACATTGCATTAATCTCCCACAAAGTATTCCTCCTTGTAAATTGATTGTAAATGAACTGTGAGAGTTAGTGTGAACAACCAAAATGTGTGCTCTAGAATGTGTGTATTTTGAGCTGTTTGTTTTTTAAATCCTCTCCCTTGATAAAGTCTGACATTACAAAACTGAAATATAATGATTATTTAAATTTAAAATTTGTTTTTAATGTTTTTACTGTGAAAATTACGTATATTTACAGAACTTTAAAACACATGAAGGTGAAAAAAACACAACCAAAATGTTGGACATACAGTGAATGTTCACTTACAGAGTGTTTGAACAGGCAAATGCGTTCTTAAAACTACAGTTTTGAGGCTGGAGGTTCAGCTCAATGACAGCACCTGCCTGGTGATTGCAGGTCTCTAAGTTTGATCCCTGATACCCAGTCAATAACCCAGTCAGCCAAATTTCACAATTTGTTTTTAATGTATCTGATATAGGGTCTCACCACACAGCTCGGACTCATAGTGATCCTCCCATTTCCAGCCTCCCCAGTGCTAAATTTCGCAATTTTTATTGAAGGTTTTGCAGTATTGCATTGTTAGGGTTTTGATGCACGTGTTTTGCCTTTTCTCAGTGCACTTTGTAATGTACGTAGTACTGCGCCACCGTGATGACAGCATGTGCTCTGAGTCTGCACTTAGCACGTTATGATCGCCCGCTTGTGTGAGGGCGACTTCTGAAGCAATTTTAATGACTTACAGTGAGCATGATACCCTACATACATAATGTGTACATGATCTACTCATTTATTATTCACTATTAGATAAAACATGTGAATGACTTTTCATATAATTTTTAACTGCATCTTTTAGAATACATCTTTTTTTTTTTTTTTCGGAATGGGGGATCGAACTCAGGCCCTTGCACTTGCCAGGGAAGCGCTTATTCTACTGAGCCATCTCCTCAGCCCCTAGAATACATCTTTGAAAAAGAACTTTTGGTTACAAAAATAAATTTCAAATGCTTTTAGTAAGAGCTGCTAAATTTGAAAAAAGAATGCTAAATTGTAGAAAGATGGAACTGTTTGGACTCGTTTGTCTCTCAGTGGTCCCTGGGAGAAAATGGCAGGGGTTTAGAGAAGTAAAGACAGCTGAGGTTGGGTGGTGGTTTGTGTCTGGTTGGCAAAGGACCCCAAGAGCAACAGTAGGGGCATGCATTTATACCTTTGCAAGGCTGCATGGTGACTAATGACCGGAATTGCCTGTGCAGGTTGCAGTTTTCAGAACTGAGGTAGCCCGGCCACATTAGGCAGAGTGGCCTTTTCCTGCTCTTGCATCCATGACCAGTTTCCAGTTCCAGCCATTCCCAACATGGAACCACTTCATAGTTAAATTGCCCCTTTAAGGTATCAGAAAATGAACATTATATTCATCTGATGTCTTCTTTCTTACAAGAATCATTAAAGTTTTGGAAATTAGAATTGAGTACGATGATTGACCAGTGGTGATGAACCTATGTCATGCAAGCTTTGGGAACTGTTTGTATCATTGAAAACTCTATAGGGTTCACCACCATTGTGATAGATTATACTTGTAATCAATCAAAGCATGTATTAAAAGGACATTCTCATTGCAGCACCTAAAATCAAATGTCCAGTTATGAAATTTTTATATAATCTCTTATAAATATCTGTAAAGAATCTAATCTGAGCCATATATTATGTTTCTACTTAGTAAGAATTTATTTGAGCCATTCCCAAAAATAGGTGAATTTAATACAATTCTATTCAAAATCTATTATTCTAAGAAATTTGA